GTCTTGTTCCCCTGCTTTAAAATATGTTTCGCCAATTTAGTTGGTTTTCACCCTCATCAGCTACAGGCCTTTTGGAATTCATATTTGATTGGTTCAGTCTATTCTGGAACCATCTGCTGATTTAGTGGTTATGATAAATATTATATATATATTAGTTTATAAATAACCACTTTCCACTGCCACTGCAATTATTTAGATTTTTCTTCATTGTCAAACAATAGTTTGCTGGTAAGTCACTTCAAGTGAGAGTTCATGCTGTTTGTCTTTTTCTTCCCCCCCCATATGTGTATGTTGCATCTCTAGGCTTTTTGTCATAAGCTTTGCAGCAAGAGCCCTGAAATCAAAACTCATTCTGAATGGCTTCTAATCTTTCCATTTTGCAGTTGACTAAACAGCGTTTGGTGGATGCAGATGGAATCAGAAACCCAAATGCTTTCTACATCTACCTGACAGCCTGGGTTAGCAATGACCCTGTGGCCTATGCTGCTTCACAAGCCAATATCCGGCCTCACCGCCCAGAATGGGTCCATGACAAAGCAGACTATATGCTAGAAACAAGGCTGAGAAGTAAGTAACATTTCATCTTAATGTCTTACAGTTTATATAGGTGCTCTCACTCCTTCCTTCAAGGCCTAGTAACTATATAGTTGGGTGATGCTGTATAGGGTTCAGAAGCATAAACAGAACAATATATTGTGTTACTCCGTAGCCTCAGGAGACAAATACAGTTGTGGAATCTAGTGTAATCTGGCACCACCGAAGGGTTTTATGATGTTGAAAAATGAGTTTTATAACAGTTTCTAGCAAAGCTCTAAAAACTTATAATAAGCATTGCTTTTTAATGTCACCTTATAGTTCCGTATGTGAGAGAAACCTGGAGATTGCATGAAATCCCTGAATTTCATCACTGAGATTACATCATATTTATCCTCAATTTTTAATATGTAAGGAAATTTTATCAAGTTAGCTCATATGTATAAGCTACCAACACCAATATGGTACAAGAACTATTTAGGGGAGCAGTTTGTGTGAGTGGGTGTTCTCCTTCTGTCCCTCCCACTCTGTGCTGTTCACTGTTTTGCATCCTGAGCAGTAATGCTGGTTCGCCTTGCTTTGCTTCAGCTTTGAATTTATTGGGAGGATTGCTAGTTGGACACCAGTGGGGAATGGGAGAGGACGTGGGGGAGGACTGGCGCTCTTTTTCAAGAGTGTGCTTGGGTAACAAGCTAGCTGTGCTTCAGTGTATCCAAACCCTGGGGCAGGTATTCAATAAAAGGCTGGTGAAGGTTAAGGATGAGAGGAAACGGCCTCAAGCTGTGCCAGGGGAAGTTTCGGTTGGATATTAGGAAAAACTTCTTCACCAAAAGGGTAGTCAGGCATTGGAACAGACTGCCCAGGGAAGTGGTTGAGTCTCCATCCCTGGAGGTATTCAGAAGAAGGGTAGACGTGGTGCTTGAGGACATGGTTTAGTGGTGGCCTTGGAAGTGATAGGTTAACGGTTGGACTCGATGATCTTAAGGGACTTTTCCAACCTTAATGATTCTATGATTCTATGAAATGCATATATTGAAATATACCTGTAGTTGTTAAATTATATAGAATTGTTTGGGGACTTGATATAGGCTGTGTTCATCCCAAATATAGTAATCTCCTGTATTTAGAATTTTTAAAGTGTCAGTTGTTCCAAAGATGCAAAATTTATATTCAACACTTTTAAGCATTTTGCTATAGAGAACAAGTGTCTTGTTAATCATGCTCTCTATGTATCTCCTTCTTCCCAAACACATTAAAACATTGCTATCCTTTTCCTAGTTCCAGCAGCTGAGCCCATAGAATATGCTCAGTTTCCTTTCTACCTCAATGGATTGCGTGAAACTTCTGACTTTGTGGAAGCTATCAAGAAAGTGAGAGCTATCTGTAATAACTATGCCGGCCTGGGGATTGCCAGCTACCCAAATGGTTATCCATTTCTATTTTGGGAGCAGTATATTGGGCTTCGTCACTGGCTCCTCTTATCCATTAGTGTGGTTTTGGCTTGCACGTTTCTGGTGTGTGCCCTCTTCCTCCTGAACCCTTGGACATCTGGCATCATTGTAAGTTTATTATAAGGGTCTTTGTTGAAGTCAAATTCCTTTCAGCATAGCTCTTGCTGTAGTCAGGAAGGTTTTGTTTATGTCTGGGCCTCTAATGGAGTATGTATATTGGATCATTCATTATGTATTTATTCAACTTGAGGGGGTAGAGTTCATGCTAAAGGTACAAACCTTAATAACCTTAATCCTTTGGCCACCTTTTTGCAGCTTTAAAGGTTTCTTATAAGGATATGTGAACTTTTGCCCTTGTTCAGATGCACATTAACATGAGAAATAAAGACACAGAGGAAAATTAAGAATGTTATTAAAGTTATTTCTATTTAGTTTTTCCTTCCTCCCTTTTATTTTTCTTGATTCAAATGTTATTTTTTAAGGCAGTTGCTTGTGACTAACTTGCCTGTAAATTTGCCCACTGATTTCTGAATGCAGTCTTTCTGGAAAGACTGAAATGTTTAGGTTGTACAGTACACACTGAGAGTGTAACAACTGGGCTATTGAGGAGAAAGAGTTAAAAAACTATAAATTGAAGAGAATACTCCTCCATGCTTTCTGCAAGGCACCATAAGCCTCATAGTAAACATTCAAGTTAACTGGATGATGATGCTCCTATGTTTAAATTCCATAAACTGTTGTATGGTTTATAAAATGCCAGAGGTAGAAAAGTGTAAAACAGTTACTAGTTTCTGTAATATATGTTTATATGGCAAGTATGTTAAAAGGTAAATGTTTAGTCTATAATATTTTTCGTAGCACTTAATCAAGCAATTTATGCTATTTTTCTTGATTCATTTTTTCTTGATTCATTTTTTTTCTTGATTTATTAGCTTATTTATTATAGTGCATACTTTTTTCCCTTGGAAAGATGGCTTATTTTCAGAGTCTGCCATTGCTTTTATAAGTTTGCCTCTTTTTTCCCTGCTTGGCTTTAGAAACTTTGAAGTCGATTCCACAGATTTCCTCCCCTCCCTTATTATTTTTTACAAGGTAGATGAAAGAAAAACAAAAGCTTTCCCTTAGATTTAACTATTTGCGTTGTCCATGTCAATCCCTCCAAGTATCTTTAAAGCTCAAAGGCCCTCTGTAACCTGAGACTCATCAGCTAATTATGACATTCACTTTCTTCTGGGCTTTAAACCTATTCTGGAGTCCTCCTCACTTACATTTGGAGTACTACAAAAAGAATTCCAATGCAGTTATTTGAAAGTTAGTTTTTCTAGAAGGATTGTCAGAGAAACAGGTGAAAAAGACAAAATTTATCTTCCAGTGGATATCCATGAGAAGGAAGAAAAAAATTATTTTTCAAATCACATATTGATAAATTGTTACCAATAGAAAAGTGATGCTTGATCTGTTAACTGGTTCTTGGGATAATAATTTAAACTGACTCTTCAGAGGGTCATTGCCATTGAGCACAATGAAACAAGGAAAAATGGCTTGTCTATGGGGATAAGAGAAGGACTGATCTGAGGAATATATTTTATAGTCCCCATGTTGTTTTGAAATATCCTTCCTCTTAGTTTGTCTAGAGTATAAGAAGTTACTAATGGCTGTTTGAAATCATCTAGGTGGTGGTGCTGGCTCTGATGACTGTGGAGCTGTTTGGCATGATGGGTCTAATTGGAATAAAGCTGAGTGCAGTGCCTGTGGTTATCCTGGTTGCTTCTGTTGGCATTGGTGTGGAATTCACTGTTCATATTGCTTTGGTATGTAAAACCAGAAAGCATTTTCAAAATATTGTAAAATAAAATGGTGACTGTTATGATTCCAAATCCTTACTTAGACTCCTGAGTCAGTGACATGACTCTCAGAAGAGTGTCAGTCATAAACCTCACACAAAGTTTTGTGTGCCATTTGGATTGTCATGGTAGAGTACATCTGATCTGATGAATTAGTTCCTAACTATTGAGTCAGTCTCCTAGAAGATAAGAGGGAATACATAACAGTATTTTAGTATTTAATAATGCTTTTTGAAGACTGTGATTAAGATCATGGGTAAACATGGTATCTAGTTGTGTGAGCCATAAAAATACATAGACAAAGCAGAGCTCTTAATATTCATTATTTTAGGACACACTCTCCCACTCATTATCTGCAGCCTCGCTGTTGTTGACTCTCAGTGCTATGTAGCTGTTTATGCCCTCTTGTATGTAGATTCTGTATCTTGCAGTAAAGAAACCTTTGAAGGGAGATATTCAAAATCATATAATGTCATTTAATCTCTCTGGACCACTAAAATTTGAATGATTTTAATTCTTCATGTGGAGAATCTCCACCTTCTTTTCAAAACCCATCAGGTATTAACAATGGGCTCAAATGTGCAATCTATAGGGAAATAGTTTTCCAATGTAATAAAGAGAAGCAGAGGGGAAAAAATGTATGAATGTTTTATATAAACATTTTCAACATTTTCAGTTAGGTGTCCAAATCTAGAGAGCACCTAATCATCCAACTTAATCAACCTGATGTACAGAAGTGCAGAGAAATGACAGTTCTCTTGCAAGGGAGCAGTTGTGGATGCTCGTTATGCAAAACTCATCATGCTTTATTTGGTGACCAAGACTGGAGTAAATGGCTATTTCTCTGTGTTCACATTTGACAGTGGCAGTGCTGATCTATGCAATGTTAAGGATAAGCTTAGACAAAGGCCTGATTTCTATTTTCTGCCGATTAAGCAATTTTGATAATAAGTTGAGTTCTTAGATATTTTCTTAGAAATTGGGGAATTTCAGAATTTAAATGTTTATATATTACAAATGAAAAGCTACCCAAGTTTTAAAATATTTTCCATTTACCTGTTCTTAGCAGTGTTAGATCTCAGAACTCTCAGCATTACATACAGAAAGGCCTCTTCACGTACTCAGCATAAATCATTTTCCTATAAGACTATTCTAATCCATTTTTTAGAAGAATGTTATTTTAAGAATATCATTGTCTTCATGGATTTGAATCTTACTGTATTAAAAAGAAAGAATGAGTGAGTCTGGTAAATATAATATAATCTCAGGAAAAAGATGTTTGTAGTCTACTATAATCTCTTCTTTATTGGTACCATAGCAATCAAAAAAAAATGAAAGGAAGGGGCTGGAAAATGGGGCAAGAGATGGAGAGAAATTGGATGGGGATTTAATAGACCTTAGAATCAACAGGAGGACTGGTAGACTATGGAGAGGATCTGTTGACAGTGAAAAGGAGCTGAGAACTAAAGGGGACCCTAGAACACTGGAGATATAGCCAAATAAGGAAAAAATAGACTATTTCTCTAATCCAATTTAAGGAACAACCACAGTGAAGGAAACAGGCAAAAAATTTCTACCCACCTCTGAGAAGTAACCTGTTTGCTAAACTGCCTTATCCAAGTGCTAAACGTTTACACAAAATGCTTCATTCAGAAAGAGAATGAAATGTGTAATCCAGCCCTATACCTATCCCCCAGAGACATAAAAAGGGCAACAGAATCAAAAGACAAGCACCTACATTTTACAATTTATCTATGGTTTTAGAATTTGCTCCTTCTCCAAAAGAGGCCAAATCTCAATCTTCCAAAAATCTCAAATTTGCTCTCCAAATTATGGAGGTTCCAGATTTGGGGTTGAGTTTGCTGAACTAAGAAATAAGACTTTATGTTTCAAGTTGGATTTAGGCTCAACTCTGACTCTGAAAGTGCAAACTGACATATGATACAACTATTTGACTACAGCATGTAGCAGACTTACCAATAATATAGGATGTGCCCTGAAGGATGATTGCTACTCCATAGAAATCAATATAATTGCATGATTGTATCTGCATAGTTGACCAGTACATAAAAAACTCATTCTATAAAAAACAAAATAAATAATCAATAAGTTATAATATTTTTATTCATGTTAGAATTTCTATCATTGTTTGAACATTAATATTTAGAGAGTTTGTACAATTTCCTTTCAAGGTTTAAAATAAAAACCACACTAGGTCACAAATGGTAACTAAAACACAGTCCAGAATTATACGAATATTCATATTCTCTTTCTCTCTTAACACTGTTTAACACTTTCTTTTCTGCCATGGGGTTTTCAAGGAAAAGTATGCACCATAATCACATTTCAGCAGTGTTCTAAAACGTAATGTTATCATCATTGCATATAAAATCTTTAAAAATATACTTCTGTCAAAAGGCTTGATGACTACTATGTACACTACAAAAATAAATTTTCACATAAATAAATTATATGGCATAATTTTATCTTTGTAACTGAAATGACACAAACCCACTCCTACCAAAATAGACAGGTGATGAGACCCAGTTTGAATTTTTTTCCTTTTAACTCCTTATGCTAAAAGCTATGATGAGTCTTTAATGTGTTATATACTCTTTCCTATTTAACATTAGTAAGCACTCTATACAAATAAAAATACATTAAAAAGGAAAAACATATCTGTAATCGTGCATCCAATAGAAATAAAATCCCTGCATTTTGCTTGGTATAAACTGGCATGACAAATACTGTAAGAAAACATTCTTATGATACAAAAATATAAATATCACCCACAATTAAAAAAAGGTTTTAAAAATCCCAAACCAAAATAAATGTTGCCAGCCACCGAGTGCTCCCTTTGCCAATGTGACTATTGGAGTGTGAAGCAGCAGACAGGTCATCCACACATACCATGCAGAACAAGGAATTGGGCAGGGGCAGATGGGAGACATCACAGCTCTTCCTTGCCCCCTTCCCTCCTCTTGTCACCTCAGAGGAAAAGGAGGGAGAAAGGAGCACATGCCTGTGGGCTGCGCCAGTGGTGTCAGTGGAAGCTTTGCTGACCACTGACACAGGAGGACACACACTTGGCAGTTGAAGGTAGCTTCCAATTAGTATCATACAATTTTGTTGCAAAGTTTTTATGACCTGAGGTCACTATGCTGATAGTACTAAATTGGGGCCCCTTGTCTTGTTTTCATGTTAGACAGTGAACTGGACCAGTAGGCAATTAAAATATCCCCTAGCATGCATCGAAACAGTGGCTTATGTATAATGGGAACAACGTCAGGCTCTCACTGTCTCTTCAGGTGTTCACCTCTTCAGGTGTCACCGCTTGTTACTGATCTCCATTTGGACATTGAGCCATTGACTGTACCTCTTTGGACGCGGCCATCCAGCCAATTCCTTATTGACCGAACGGTTCATCCATCAAACCCATATCTCTCTAAGTTAGCAACAAGGATGTCGTGGGGGACCATGTCAAAGGCCTTACAGAAGTCAAGATAGATGAGATCAGTTGCTCTTCGCTTATCCACCAAGGCAGTTACTCCATTGTAGAAGGCCACTAGATTAGTCTGGCACAATTTGCCCTTGGTGAAGCCATGTTGGCTGTCCCGAATCACCTCCCTGTCATCCATAGTCTTTGAAATAGCTTCCAGGAGGATCTGTTCCATGATTTTACTGGGCACAGAGATAAGTCTGACTGGTTGGTAGTTCCCAGGGTCTTCCTTTCTACCCTTTTTAAAAATGGGCGTGATGTTTCCCTTTTTCCAGTCACTGGGGACTTTACCTGACTGCCACGACTTTTCAGATATGATGGAGCGTGTCTTAGCAACTATATCAGCCAATTGCCTCTAGACCCTGGGATGCATCTCATCGGGTCCCCATGGACTCATGTATGTTCAGGTTCTTCAGGTGGTCTCGATCCTGATCTCCTACAATGGGTGGGTCTTCATTCCCCCAGTCCCTGCCTTCAGATTCAGGGACTCAAGAGATGTGGGAAGAGACATTACCATTGAAAACTGAAGCAAAAAAGTTGTTGAGTACCTCAGCCTTCTCCATGTAGGTTGTCACCAGTTCCCCTGTCCTATTTATCAGGGGGGGATACAATTTATTTTGCCTTCCTTTTCTGAATAACGTACCTGTAGAAGCCCTTATTATTTTTCTTCACATCCTTTCCAAATTTAGCTCCAGCTGTGCCTTAGCTTTCCTGATCGTATCCCTACACATCTGGGCAGCGTCCCTATATTCCTCCCAGGATGCGTGCCCCCGCTTCCACTGCCTATGCATTTCCCTCTTGTGTTTCAGCTTGACCATGAGGTCCTTACTCAACCATGATGGTCTCCTGCCTTCCTTGCCTGATGTCTTGCACATGGGAATTGATAGTTCTTCTGCTCTAAGAAAAACGTCTTTAAATAGCTGCCAGCTCGGTTCAGCTCTTTTATCCCTGAGGGCAGTTTCCCAGAGGGTCCCATCCACCAGTCCTTTGAACAACTGAAAAAAATACAAATGTTCATTAAAGTTTAAGAAAAAAGAAATAAATCATTCTAGTTATCCCCACTCACTGTGCTGGGAAGGTCTGTGGGCAAAGATAGACTCCCTGAAGCCACTGGAGAAATACACCTTCCCATCAAAGAATTTGCAGCTGCTGTTCAGGCACTGTATTTAAAGAAAAGCCCCACCATCACTGTGTTTAAAAATCGAATGTTGGTTGTGTGTGTTTGGCTCTGAATACATATTTGATCATCTACCTGCTCTAAAAACCAGCTTGGAGAAGGGCAGAAAAAAGATGGAGAAAGACAAAGAGAGAGAGAATGAGAACTTTTGTTCTCGTATTTTAAATTAAGGTTCTCCATTCTTAGGGTTTGTTTTCAACCAGAACACAGAGATTGTAGTATTTTTCCAGGCCCTTCACCTGCAGCAATCCATCTTTAGTTTAAAAATAACGACAAAAAAGCTAAATTAGT